CACACACACACACACACACACACACACACATTTTGTCTCCCTTTTTTTTCTCGCCCAGAAACGTCACATTATCCTTTCCCCCTCCCTGGTCCAGACGATGAAGTCCGAGATAGCGGAGCTCACACGTTGCTCATTTGTGCCTCTGGCGCGTGCAGAGCGTGATGAAACATGCGCTTGATGTGGGTTCCTTTTCCCCCTTCTAGGAAAACAGTCGTTGTATTGTTGTAGTTACACCAGGTTTGTGTAACCCGGACGCAACAACGTTTGTTTGGTGGGTGATTGGCGAGTGCTCTGCTGTGCTGCTCTTTCTTTCCTATCAAACACATATCGTCCTTATCTCTCCCTTCTTTTTTGTGTTTATTGATTTTCTTTTGAAATCCCCTCAGTCTTCGGCACTTTTCAGGATTTAATTGTGTCGCAAGACAAATTGTTTTGTGTTTATTTTGTTTAATTTTTTTAGGACTTCAGAGTCAAGATATCTGTGGTGGCCTCGTTGGTCCTAGATACGTTTTTATGTATGTTTGAATAGAAATGTACTGTCCGAAATGGCAGTTTGGTCTGAAGCAGGTATATTTAGGCAATAAGAGAAAAAAAGAGAGAGGGAACTCCGTTAGCTCAGGTAGTATCATGCTGGACTTGGTGCGGATGGTTCTAGTTCGAACCCATGACTGGACATTCTTGAACTTGAATCGTTTTGTGGAGTCTCCAACCAATTGGCTAGGTCATGTTGAAGACGGACGTTATATTCGGGGGTCTCTCGCCTCTAAAATCCTAATAGTATTGAAAAAGGCCTTAATTCCATACACTTACTTTTACTTACTAAAAGGAAACCCCTGTCAGAATAGGCCTAGCTGTCGCGTGGACATGTAGACACTTTGTACAAAATGACTCTACAGAAGTAGATCTACTCGGCGAGCGGCCATGCCATTCGCAAACATGCCTACTTTACTTTTCAGATCTTTCCTGGACTGCCCTGGGTTTGGCAATCAGGAATTTGAGAGCCTTATCATGTACTGCACTTCACCAAAATCAGTCTCACCTAATTGTGTGTTCTTTGGTATGCATTGTATATTATATTATGTATACACGTATGTGTAATCTTATGGTTAGAACGATTGATGTTCCTTACCGGGGTTTGCGAAAGTTGGCAAGCCATGCCTGTCGACGTGGGTGGTTGGAAGATGCTCTGGTATGGTTTGCTTCTTCTTTCCTATAATAAACTATTGTCCTTCTCTCTCATCCTTTTTGTGTTTGTTACTCCCTTATAACACCTCTAATCTTCGATACGGTACTTACATGACCTTATTTATAGTGTGGCAAGTGCCGTAAAACTCTTACTAAAACAAAAAAGATTATCTCCTTTGTTTGTTATTCCCTTGTAACACCTCTAATCTTCGGTACGGTACTTATATGACCTTATTTATAGTGCTGCAAGTGCCGTAAAACTTTTACTATAAGACTAAATGCCAGTCTAGTCTGGCGACGTGGGAATGACAAGGCCGGGGGAGGAGAGAGACCTCGCTAGCACTAGCAGCGCGAGCAGCAGCCTCCGCCCTTGTAGAGATTGCAGCTTGGATTACACGCAGATTGTGACGGCGCTCAGGATCGCATTTCGCACCCCCGTGCACAGAGCAGTGAACTCTGGCATTAGGATGTATGTGCTATGACGTGGTAGAATGAGGCGCCCGCCGTCCATTTTTTGGGGGTGTATTTGGGACGTTTTGGTATTATCTTAAAAAGCTTGTTCAATTAGGTGTCTTGCTTTTGGAGTTTTGATATTGTCTTAAAGGTTGTTAAATTGTCTTGCTTTTAATGTGAAAGAACATCCATCTATCTGGAACAGAATTCGGGATATTTGTGGTTGAAGGAGTTTGATTCGCGTGGTATTAGATGTGAAATAAACGGGTGAAAAATTAACGCAAAAATTGGTGACTTTCAAGGCTTCGTAAATGACACATTTATATATTTTGGGTGCTTTTTATCAACGGTTAAAAAAAAAAAAGTAAAAATCCACTCAGAAATGTGTATTTGGTATACATTAAAAATGTTGAACTAAAAATAAAATTGATAGAAATTGTCCAGCGGGCGAAATAAATGTCGGTTTCCTCGATTTCGTTATTTTGACGAGCGCCCGATTTCACAACGATGCCCCACATACTGTGCTGGTGCATGGAGTCGGCGATGCTCAGCTCTTTCCACGACGTGTGAATGAATGCATCTCGTTCTTATCTCTATCTTTCTTTGAGCGTGGTTATAGCGTGCCACATGGGCGTCGGTGGTGTGTTGGTGAAGCTTTTCGTCTTGCATGAGAAAGATGAAAGAAACGGAATGAAAACCAAGTAA